CTTTGTATATAATATATCCATGGTAACGAACGAGTGTTAAGGAGCCTCAGCAAAGTCAGGAAGTATTTAACCATGGGAGAAGGCAAGATAGAGAGAAAATAATCCTATCCCTTTTCCTCCCCCTCACTTGCGTTCACTCTGTCTACTTCAAATCAGATCATATGAAAATCAATGCTTAAACCCTCACTCAGAGGGCACCGTCGGGGAGTCTCCTTGAAATTGTTGGTGATTAAAAGGCAAATCCATTCAAATTCACCTTGAACTTGTAAAGAAATCTTTCTTGATTAAAAAATTTCTTGGTTTTAATAACTTAATGTATTTATTTGTCCAATGTACATTCAACAGGGATATTTGTTTCGCTCACGTGTTAAATTAAATTTATCAAAATTGATAACGAAATGTTTCGTTAATAATATACAATTCACAGATACTACAGATAATTTTTGCTACGTTTTCTCTGTCTCTTAAGTAAAAATGTGTGTATGATTTAAATGGTTTATGAAAGTATACAGATTTTCACCAGTTACATATAAAACTAAAAATAATATTTCTTGAAACTTCAGTTATTTCCCCTCTTAAATTTTGAAGCATTCAATTAAAGTTATTTATTTATTGGTTAGAACTTTGAAATGTTCCAATATTACCTTTAAATATGTGGGCTTGCTTAACATGGGAAGCCTGTCTGCAGTTTGAATGGAAGGAAATATCCAACGATCACCGCGATAATGTAGGCTGACAAGTTTTTTGTTTCTACAACTGCTTCGAATTTCCCTCCATGCCATATCACATTATGAACTCCTGTCTTAATCAAGAGTAAAAGAAATCTCTTGAAACATCTAAAGATCCGTCTTCTATTAAATCTGCTTCATATATATGTGACATCTTGTTGGAATGGGCCAGTAGAGCAAGAGGAAACGATTGATTCATGTTGACAATTTGGCCTTTAAATTTATTTTTTGTATAATTGAACTTTAACTATGCTCTGAAATTATTCAAATTATCATAGTTAAGTTGTATGTGGTAATTTTTTTTTCATTACATAATAATATGAAATTGCTTGAAAAAAAAAAAAAAAATCCCTGCTGATTTCATCAATTGAAATGAAAAGAATGTAGTCCCATATATACTAGTCAATTGTAGGAGCACTTACAGCACCAAGCATCGAATTGAGATTGAGCTTTTAATTGCCATTGAGATAAACAAATCAGATGGATATGTCATGGTTAGACTGGAGAGCATCATGGGAGTTTCCTCTCACTTCCTGTCAAGGTCACATGATTCATATCCTCCAATCCCAGGAGGTTTCTTGAAGGAGATCATCTTTACATGCATGTAGGCTCATGAGTTTTACCCAGGTCTGGAATTCAAGATGATATTTGTTTAATTTTGTTAATGTTTAGTATGTGCAGTAAAAGTGTATTTTCAATTGTGGGTAATGCACAAATAGAATTTGCATGCTCTTTAAATTTCAAGGACCAGCATGATAATCGATTAAAAATGCTATTATACCATGTCTGGTAAGAGTCTTAAAGGCATTAATTAATAATACTTTTAGACAAATTAATGCCTTCTGGCTCTCAACAGACAATATTCTAAATGAGCAAAACAGATAAGAAACACTTTTAATGAGAAAGTAATATCTGACAGCACATCATAAATTTCAAGGTCTATCATTGTCTGAAATGAGAGCACTTTAAGAGCAGTGTTGGCACCCAATCAATAAGGAAAATGAAATGTGTAACTCTAGAACTACAGAGATGGAAAAATCATGTTATTCATCGAAAATACAATGGCTCGTAGAAAGTGAAAGTATACACGCAATGCATTGTGTTCATGGACGTCTGCAAACCAATAAGTAATACAAAGCTCAATAAAAGAGCTTGAATAATGCAGGAAAGGTTTTTGGTGTTGAAATTCACAAGGAAGACTTGAGGATAATAACCCAGTATCTGTTCAATTCGCCTGGGATGAAAAACAAGACTAGGCACGTCTTGATCATCTCGAGATTGCCAAATAGCCCGCTACTTCTGATTTGGGAAATAATCCTGAAGTAATACAAATCGCGTCTTCACTATCTCGAGATTCGACCTCCAAACTTGAAACTCGACCTTGAGAAATTAGCTCGAGATATTTTGCTCAGCGTTAGCGCGTATTGTGAATCTTCGGTCTAGTGAAGACGCAGGGGACAAATAGCTGGATATTTTGCCAGATTAGTGGGATATTTTGCAAACTATCCCAAGATATCTTGGGATGACAATCCTGACCAAATATCCTTCTAATTGCTACTTCGGTCTAATGAAGACGCAAGTTAGCTGGATAGTTTGCGATCGGGATAGTTCAAATAGCTGGATATTGGCAATCTCGAGATAGTGAAGACAGGCCTACTGTGTCTGGTTGAATAGTGGTGCTCTAGACAAATGAAAGTCAGTCACATGCCGATACATGTGAGGATGAGAGCGAAATGATACGTGTAGTGACATTTTGGGATGGATGGACAAGGGACTTGGAAGGGTGTCTCAGTCTTTGTCATCTTAAACCGCCCAGACAATGAAATTTATTTTCACGGACTGCGGAGAAGGATCGCAGCTATAGGTGAAGATTTCAGTACAATATTGGCATTATGTAAGTTTTTTTGTAATGTGACTAATATTGAATCATGTTTGTTTGTTTTTGTGATGTGGAAGTTTCTTTGTGAGTGTTATAGCATTTAGGTTCATGGTTATAGCCATTATAACTATTCAAATGTATCTGCAATTAATTTGTTTTCCTGTTATTATTGATTAAATAAGTTGAATATATATATATATAGATATATAATTATTTTGAATCAGAATTCGTGAATTTGAAGGTGACAAAGAGTTGAGGTGAGAACTTTATTTTATGATGGAAGTTCTGAATGAGACCTTTTGCTTTTAGAGGCCAATAATGATATGCCACATTTCCCATTGTTGGTAATTTCCTTATGGCTGGTGCCCTCTGTTTGTATGATAGGAAAATGTTTTTTTATAAAGGATTTCGTACTATACTCTGTGGAGCTTTGTTCAAACTCTAATGAGATTTGCCATTTCTTAAGAATAGAATTCGTCATCTTGGTCATTCACCGGGCATGTTTGAGTCATGAGTGAGACACATTTCCAAGTTAGCAGTAGGGAACCAATTAGGCTTCAAATTGTTCTAAACAGATGTAACGCCTTATGGTGGAAAGCATTGTTTGTATGTATGGCGTTGGTTTGTTGAGCAGGTCGACTCTGGTCAAAAGAGATGGAATAACCAACAAAGATGGCCATATATATAGCACTGCTAATTCTCCAACTCTGTGAAAATCAATTTATCAGCCATCCAATTACAGGGTCTATTCCATCTTTATTTCATCCTCCCTCTCTCTGTCAAAAGTAAAACTAATTTGAACGTCCCTCCTGCCTCTGATGAAGTCTTTTCTACGCATGTAATTAGCCTGCCAGGCAAGCATGCAAACCCGACGCTCATGCAATTTTGTCAGGTATTCGCAGAGGTATTCCGTAAATATAACGAGTCTGATTGATTTGGTCAATAAAAGAACCCAATCTGCCTTCGCTGTGTAGTAACACTTCACTTCAGCATCTCACTCTCTTTTGGTGATGCAGACTATCCCTCCGGTTGCCAAGCTTCTACTCCCCCATCCTGTTCGTGATTTGGTACAGTCCAATAATGTCTAATGGACAGTGATGGAAGTGTGTGAAGGTTTGTGTGTGTGTGTGCTATCAATCTGAAATTCACCTGCATTGGGCCTTTCCATCTCAAACCAATTTTTAAAATCCCCTCTCTTGTTTTTCCCTGCTTTTCGAGTCCGAGATTGCGATATGTCATTCAGCGCTTACCCATAGTGCACCTGTTCGGCCTCTGCTGTCCCTCTGCTGCCAACATCCATCATAAAATCTAGTTTAGAGAGAAGAAAGGGGGAACAAAAAACTAATATTCCCATTTATTCGTTTCCTGTCGGCATTTTGTGTTTGGCAAAGAAAGGGACAAGATAAATTGTTAGCAGTCAGGACTGAAGGTTGGATGCCAATGTTGCTATAGGTACTATCAGTTTTTTCACGCATCTGAGCAGAGATGAAGATGGATTTGCATATGCCATAAACTTGTAACTTCCTGCTAGTATTTGGATGATATTTACTGGATTATATTGATGCTGCAAAACTTGTTTTCAATTCACTTTGGATGGTCATTTCAATCACAAGCTGAGATCGTGAGTTGTTGAGAGGTAAGAAAAGTGACAATCATGTAATTTCATCCGTTTTTTGTGTGAGGGGGGAGATCCTTCAACAAATATTAATTGATATGATATTTCATTTCGATTTGAATTAATTGTATTATATTTTCTTTTTATATATGAAATCATCTTGAAATTATTATTTGTTCATTTTTGTGCTCGTTGACTTGTGAGAAGAAAAGGTTGGTTTTTAGCACAACGATGTTATTTATAATGTATGGTATGCTATTGAAGGTGGACTGCATTATATGAGCATCAATGTCTTGAAGCAGATTGGCAGATTTGTGTACATTACTATTGGTATCATGTTATCACCAAGAAACTAGTAGCAAATATGATGCAAAAACCAAGAGATTACTTTTCAAAATTATTTTATATTGCTAGCAAAAATTCAGATAATAGATGTACATGTAAATGTGTGTCGAGCCTTGGAATTAATAAGAGAATGTTGAACCTGGTTGTATTTAAGGCTACATGTCAGAGAAGGTCAGCAGAGTTGTGTGAAATGCTCAAATCTTCTTAGAGAAAGCATATTATTCTGTAAGACGTGATAATCCCATGGTCTTTTCAGATTATCAGTTTTATCCCCCTCTCCTGTTTAAAGGGGCCAGGGCTTAGAAGATTTTTTAATTATTCTGTAGTCTATTCATTTTGATGTGCTGTTAGGGGTAAGAACCGAAAAGAGAATGAATAAGAAAGAATCCATTGCAAGTATTCTTTTAAAGTTTATCTTGAGCTCTGGTATGACTTAAAGGGAGTGGATCGCCAGTTTCCATGTGCAGAAGGCCATAATTCGCTGACACCAGACTTGGTGGAAATACCATTAATGGGGGTACAATTTTGCACACAGCAAACCCATAGTCCAGTCAAGAATTACCCCCAATCTCTGGGAGAGCTCGAGAGTCTTCGGTAAATCAAAGCATTACATAAGGTCCAATGGTCATAAAACTCAAGGCTAACCCTGGTGATTGACAACACCTGTTATTGGGTAAACACCCGAACGGTGTCGAATTCCCCATGAGAGCCGACTACTCAGTGACTTTAATGGGCATCTTAATTCTTATGTCGAGAGAACATGGCTATAATTCATTCTGGATTGTTTATCCTGCAGTAGATTGATTGTTTGAACCAGTAAAATAAAAAGAACCTTACAAAAACTTGCTAGAAATCATCTCCAATAAAAACCACAACTCTTATTTGCACATAGTGACCTGTGTTAAGCACATGGTGTCAGGCCTAATTAGTACTAATTACCTTGAGTTCCTTATCTTTCTATGCTCATTCCTCAGACCCCATATATTTTATACCGAAATTGTTTGGCACATATGTCATTCATTTATTGTTATCTTGAACATTCAGTGTAACTGTAAGTTTATCTATCATTACCAGAACTCAAGCTTATCTTTAAACATGATAGTCTCTTGTAAATTCATTTTTTATTTTGTTTATCGACTCTAAAAAAGAAATTTAAAGAATATCATAATTTAACATGTAACACAAGAAATGTCCTGTGTCGATCTGTAAAATTAATAGGTAGTTCATTGTAAGAAAAATGGCACTGCCAACATTTTGACTTTTTTTCAGTTGGGAATTTGTGATTTTGCAGAGTACAATCTGATCTTTCCTTTTCAAAGGGGAGTGGAACACATCTTACCAACTATATCAGTCCAGTTCTACGGAACTCCATTATCTCAGCTCAGTTCAGTTCTATTTTTTATTTGTGCAGCCCAAGAAATCGTGACTCCCCAAAAACTGATACATTTTTCTGAAAGTCATCATCACGTTTCAATTTAGACTTGTGCTAGCTCCCACCCAGGGAGGGTGATGAAAAGTCCGGAAGTCTGAAATCGACTATCTACTCTTGAATTCAAGGTTAAAGGTCGTTGGATGATGGTGGACTTTAGAGCTGACAGGAGAAATCATATTCAATATTTTGTGGTCTGATTTGGAAGGTTTCTGGAGAATTGGGTGGAGGGGTAGCCTTGTGGTCTGTGGTATTAGAGGGAAGTGTATTTGAGCATATTGAACCTATTTTGGGGGAAATGGATGAAACATTTTCAGAGTCATTGACACTAAAAGATTTTTTATTGTTTCCAGGTTGCTGGAATATTGATCATGAGAACTTATTATGAATAAGTGATAAAATAACCTACAAAACAACTGTGTTAGTTAAGAATCCTACATTTTAATGTCAGGTTTCTCTCGTTTTATCCATCATTAAGTTCTTTTGAAATTGAATCGGAGTGAGATGACAATTTAGTCTTAACTCGGCCTATTGGAACTTGGTATTAAACATGTCTGCTCTTTAAGTAACATTTCACTGAGTTCAAACATTCAACAAGGTAGCTCCAAGACATGTCACATACTTGGCAGGGTAATGAAATTTAGTGATAATATCTGAAAGTTCAAATGGTCAAACCTGATTTTTTCTTCTTCCTAACTCAAAGATCAGCCAAGAACAGACTATTTTCCCCATACATTCTGCCGATTTAGCAATAGACTTGTATGTTTCTGGGCAGTCTGAGAGACATTGCCTTCAAGAAATCTTTTTGATTTGTCTGTTCATCCCGCTGAGAGGGTTCATGACCTGAGGTCAGTGTTGGGTCATCTGCAAGGTTTCATTTGTCTGCATGCATTGTCATTTCTTCCATGAAGTTTGATGATTTCTGATGCCCTGGGAGATGGATCGAGGAAGATCAGAACGACCAGCTTTCAATATCAGTTAGTTTCCAGTTACCTAGGTTTGGCTGGGACTCGGAGAATGACAAGCCACACCTTAACATGTATTCACCGCTTCTGTGATACTGATAGAACCTGACATTTCAGTGTCAGAAATATTTGTCTGATCGTATCACAGAGAATAATTAATAGGATTACATAGGAGCAGGCAGAGAATGAATATTGGACTTGATAGCTCCAATAGTGGTGTTGATGGAAAAGATATATATAGGCCTTTATAAATAACGACATGTCACCGTTTTGTAAAAGATAATAGTAATACATGAGATTTGTTTTGTAAGGCACCTACTCCACTTGAAATCAAATGTTCAAGGCACACTTGCGAGGAAAAAAAGGAAAAAAATGAAATCGCATATCTTATTTAATTTAAGAAAGAGCGCTTTTATGAACAAGAGTATAGTAGTGCCAAATTGCGCAAATGATTTGAAGTTATTTTTGTTAAGGTGCTATACTAACGAAAATTTGCAAAAAAATGACATTTTGATATGAGGCTATCCCCAGTGCCAATTATAATCAGACTTTTCACATTTATACATTACAGAATGTGTTGATCCATTACCCTGCTCACAGCCTTATTCATAGCTTGCCATCTTGATGTGCTATGTGTCATCGCTTTGTCATCACCATCTCAAGATAAAGAACATTAATGCTATCTGTCGCCCCTCTCCCACTTTTGCCACCTTTCTCCGTTTTGACTGACGATTGCGATGAGCGATGTTGCTGTATATAGTCCTGTGATTGTGATGCTGTCAACCAAAGATTTGCAGTTTTTTTAATATGAATTTCATCATCTCCTGATTCATCCATTTGGATTTATCAGATAGTGCCTTCTTTATTTAGTTTTTCAATTTTGCTCACTGATTGCTCATCATCTATTTTTTTCTTCCTGTCCTTTCAAATCACTGGTATTCTCTCTCTCTCTCTCTCTCTCACCCTCTCTTTCCTTCTCTCTCTATCTCTCTCTCTTTCTCTCTCTCTCTGTCTCTCTTTCTTCCTCTCTCTCTTTCTTCCTCTCTCTCTCTCTCTTCCTCTCACTCTCTCTCTCTTTCTTCCTCTCTCTCTCTTTCTCTCTTTCTCTCTCTCTCTCTCTCTGTTTACTCCTTACCTCCCCCTAACTTTGTATCCCCCCCCCCCCCACACACACACACACACACTCACGGATTCTGTCTTGCTGTACAAGCCAGCCTGAAGCTTGTTTATAGCAAGGTGCGCTTTACCTTGTAATCCTAAACTTTTAGGTGTAAACAGAAATCACTTATGATATCACAAGGTGTGTGTCATGTCAATCAAGCTGTCATCCACCCTGGCATAAGTCCTTCATTTCAATCAAACATTGTTTCATGTTAGAGAGGAATACTTGGCAAAGCACACTCTTATTTTGTTTTTCTGAAATGTTATACACTGGAAAATGAACAGATGGACACGATATTGAATTTGATTTATCATATGGAAAGGTAACTTTACTTCCATTTCGTTAGGATATTTCTCCATCTCCTTGTCATTCTCTTTTTACTTTTCTCTCCGTCTATCTCTGTCTCTCTCCCTGACTTTTTGTCTGTGTTTTTCTGTTAACCAGTACATTTTTTATTTTTTTGCATCAAGAAAGGAAAGGAGGAGAAAATAATGAAAAGATTCCCAGATTCAATTCAATAAAGCCCTTTTGCATTACGTGCAAGCTTGAGAGAAAATACAGATTAGCCAGGGAGAGAGAAAAACTCTCTCTCCCCTAGCTCCTCTTGCTTTGTATCACCGGAGGACAAGATAACAGAGCAAATTTACTTCTCAATAAACCACCTAAACAGGGAATGATTGAAAAACAGCTCTCCACTTCTGCCATCCAATATTCAAATCAAGTTGATCTTCATGCTCGCGGCACGCTGAAGCTCATTACGGGGCCAGGCGCATGTAACATGGAATCCAGAGTACATGCCGATTGGGCTGGGAAAATGTCGCAATTAAGAAAAGTGCAGTCATACCTGTAGGGGTAAAAGGGATGGAGCGATGTTTATGCCATATTTCATTTTCAATTTTGAAGTTAGATCAGATTTTTATTCTACCCATCCCTGTGCCTCTCTCACTTCCTGTCTATTTTCATAAATTCAAGGTTATAGATAGCAATGATGGTGGTGGTGGTGGTGGTGGGGGGGGGGGGGAGTTGAATTCACCATCCTGTGTATAGTAAGACATTGGGAGTAAATTTGCTGTTGTGATAGAAATGTTTAATAAATTATTCAAAGAGTCACACTTTACCAGTTGGACTGATACTGACTTTATTTGAGTTTGTTCACAATGCAATATGTTTGCATAGTCTTTCATAGCATTCTGTAACAGTGATGCATGACAACCTGCAGTTTAACTCTTAAATGTGAACGACCCTCTGTTTCCAGGGATGCATGCATCCATCTCTGCAGCTATTGAAATATCACTCCCACCGGAATGAAGTATTGAAGAGTACATGGAACCTGGCTATTAGTCAGGCCCAGAGACACGAATATTCATGTCCCATTTTCAAGCACTGGTTTATCCATTTTATCTGATGAAGGCTTTATCGAAGGAGAGGCGCCTGGTTTATCTTTCGACTCTCTTCTTTGCTATTGTAGAGTGGAAAAGGGCCAGTGAAATTGATGCTGCTGCTTTTTTTGAAGTGCCTGGATGTTCCTAAAGCTAAATAGGTGTTTTGTTCAGCGTTGCAGCGTAAACATCTTGATGAAATGTTTCATTTAAAGGAAAGGAGAGTACTTGCACAATTCTTTTCATGCTTTCAATGTAAAGAAAAACAAGCAAAATTGTTGAAACTTTATTTGAGGCACCTCAAAAAGTGAAAAATTAAATGCTGAAGTGGTATGATCAAGAAATATTTTAAAGCAATAAAGATCTAGGGGAGCAGAGATTAATGACTGTGATAGGGCGCGCAAGGTTGGGGAGGGCAGAGAATGAGGAGGAATTTGAACTTGCATATCAACAACCGAACCATAAAAGGCAATAAATCTGTCTTATTAGCACTGGTAGATTATTTGGGCAGGGATCATAGTACAATAATCTTATCAGTGTTGACATGGGTTAATATTTCATTTACATCGTTATCAAGTTCATAGTTATCTAGTTCATAGTCCATCAGGATACG